CATCGGAAACAAAAAAGCGAAAGAATTTGGAACGATGTTTTTACAATTATTTTATTCAGCTGTATACAGTCAGTGTCAGTCGGTAACGCGTGAGTGAATAGTGGCGTCTGTTGCGTGGCTCAAACGAAATAAAAAATGGCACATGTTTATGCGGATCGGTTTCCCAATCGAGTGCAACCAACCCCTCGTGCCTTTGTTAATGTAGTACAACGGGCTCGTGAATCAGGTGACTTAAGACCTCACAGGGGACGGCATGCCGGTGCTCCAAGACCTCACGATCAAATACAGGTCCGCACTGAAATACTTGTCGGGAGGATACTTTATAAAACAAGGTAAACATTTTTTTTTATTTTTTTTTTATTTTTACACACATATTTTGGTTTATCTTCCTTCTACAATCATTATCTGAAAATAATTTGTTTCTGGACTCGACGTCGGCTCGTATGTTCTCTACAGTGGGGTTTTGTAAGAAGGTTCTGTGTGCCTGGCGAGCAGTGTCACACGATTTGTTAAACCAGCCGTTGGACCCTATGCACTTTCACTGTGTGAGTGATGTATTCCTCCATTCCGACGTGGATAATTTTGGTTATCGAAGAACAGATAGCCGACACATCTGCGTCAGTGTACATTGTACATCACGAAAATTCATGTCACTCATTCCCGTCATTTTGCAGTTCTTACAAATCGGTCCAGTGGCAACGGAGATAAATGACGAATACAAAACAGTGAAAAATGCCGCCCAAACTTCGTTTTTTGACGTTTCAGAAAATCCTCATCCTTATTTTAGGGGTAAAATTGGGCATCGCCATTTTTTGATGTTAGCATATACACTTCCAATTTCGGTAACTCCACGCATTCATTAGACATATTTCACACATCCTAGATTTCGTCGTACTTTTGCCCTTAACGGTGAGTACACCACCATTTTCCAGGCGGAAATCTTTGCGATTCTGGCTTGTGTATCTCACATTCTGGAGGAGGGTGGGCCTAGGAGAAGAATAACAATCTTATCCGACAGCCAGGCTGCAATGAAAGCACTAAGTGCATGTAAGATTACTTCGAGTCTTGTATTGCAATGCAGGGAGGCTCTGGATTGCCTCGCAGCGAGGCATCCGGTATCGTTAATATGGGTACCGGGGCACGCTGGGATAAGGGGCAATGAGACGGCGGACACTCTGGCGAAAACAGGATCAGCCAGCAAGCTCGTTGGTCCTGAGCCAGCTCTAGGAGTAACCGCGCATAAAGCTAGGAGGAAAATGGAGACGTGGGTTGCAAGACAACACTCTCAGAAATGGAGAAGTATCTCTAGACATCTCCGCCAGGCACGAGAGCTCATTGAAGGGCCCAGTGCTAAGGATGGACGCTTCTGCCTATCTCTGGGTAGAGCCAACCTAAGGTTGCTGGTGGGACTGTTGTCTGGCCATAACACGTTAAGGCGGCACCTGCACGTGATGGGGGTGGCTGAGGATCCCTTGTGCGAACGCTGCGGAGTAGAGGAAGAGACCTCGGCGCACGTTTTGTGTCGCTGTGAAGCTCTGAGCTACTATAGGCAGACTATACTGGGGTCCATTACTTTGGACCCTCAGGACGTAAAGGAGCTTGGACTCAAGGCGATTCTCAACTTCGCTAAAAGGGCGAGGCTTGTGATTTAAGTATTGTAGAGGTGCATAAGGGCCCGCTTAAGCGGCCTATGCACTGGCTCCTTATGGTGGCCGGAATGCCTCTAAAATTCAAGATTCATTCATTTGCCCTTAACACTTATAATGGCGGAGAAACGTTTCCGACACGCCTCCCTGCGTCTGCTTTCTGGCTTCACCGGCAGGCGTTACTCAGGATATAAGGAGTTATGTTGCTGTCATTTAACACTTTATTAATTGATATAATAATTGCATTGTATTCCTTTTTACTAGCTCATCACTTTTGGTTTATATTAACGATTGTATCTTAATAATGAGTCAGTAATTCAATCTCGGTCACAGCGAACACACATACACTGTAATTCCGGTTCGGTCCAGTAAACTATTGTTGGAAACCAAATAAAGTTTTTTTAAAACGAAGTTTGAAGTTCCGACTACATAATTGGCGCAGCCAGTAGGATTCGAACCTAAGCTCCCAAAGGGAATCTGATTTCCATTCCTACTGTTAACCTAACTGCCATTATTCCCAAAAATTCCTATTTCACAATGAGTACCAAAATGTACCAATATGATGCTGAACCATGTCAAATGATAGAAGATATTTTTATTTGCCACGAAAACAAATTGGTCCATGTAGCAGAAGATGAAGACGATTGTCTAGCAGCCAAATTGTACCAAAATTTCCGGAACTCTTAAAATGGCCTTAATTGAAGAAGTTTCAGAGTCCAAATACATGGCCATTTTCCCGAAACAGTGAAGCACCCCTACAAATGGAGTCTACCCCTGTATGCAATTATGTTAATTGGAATTGCATGCATTTTCGTGAAAAAGTATTACCAGAGAAGAAGAGGATCAAGAAGAAGCCAGCATTTAGAAGAAATCGAAATGGAACCCCAAGAAGCACGAAGTTTTGTTTGTGCCCTCGAAAACTTCATCTTAAGGGTGGAGGAATTATGTTGCTGTCATTTAACACTTTATTAATTGATATAATAATTGCATTGTATCCCTTTTTACTAGCTCATCACTTTTGGTTTATATTAACGATTGTATACACTGTAATTCCGGTTAGGTCCAGTAAACTATTGTTGGAAACCAAATAAAGTTTTTTAAAAACGAAGTTTGAAGTTTCGACTACATAATTAAGGTCTATGACGTCTTATTTCGATAGGATGATGTGCCAATCATAACTCAGTATGAACTGATGACGGCGTTGTGTGGGAACTGCAGAGTTTACCTATAGTCAATGCCAAACAAAGTGGCGTGCACGTCATCACGATAAAAATTCCCCGACCTAATGCCTAGGTTTATATCACAAACAATTGCTCTATTGCAGTTTCATATTAATGTGATATATGAATTGTAAAATGGTCATTACTCTCTTATTATGGTTAATAGTCATATAAACATTGTTATTGAAATATCACATAAGTTGCTTTCTGATAAATTTAGACGCATTATGCGAAATAAAATGTTTTGCAAACGCTCCAATCACTTATCGACATGTAAACGCACTAAACCGATTTCGCAGCGTTGACACATTGTCACCTTGAAACTTATTTAAACTGGGAACTGACATTTGTATTAATTTTGACACTGAATCAATTTGTGGCATTTCAAATCTTTATAAATCCTTTGGCCCCGCATACTGTAAATCAACAACTGTTTGTTTCAAAACAAAATTATTCATTTTACGAGTAGATAAAGGCAATTTTGGTATATAAAGATGCCCAAACAGTTAAATAGTCGGTGTAAGGAACTCGTGGCCTCGTTAATGCACTACTTTGAGCAACAAAGGGACAACAACGGGCCTTTGTTGCCTTTAAATGCTGTTCAAGAGGTAGGTTACTAATAATTATATGTAATGTATATTTATAATACTGAAATTTTATTTCATTTTTTGTAGCGTGTTGCTGCTGCTTTAAAAATTAGTTTAAGGACAGTCGTATTTCCGAGGGTGTGAAAAGTGATGCAAATTTAGAATCGCCCAAGAAAAGCGGAGTTATATTAAACGTGTAACCAACACAGCGACATTGGATACAAGTGCCATTCGAGAAGTGATCTATAATATGTATCACAAAAGTAAGATCTTATTATAATAACTTATCAGAAATTTGCATTAATTTGTTAACTAAATTATAATGTCATATTACATATGGTTTCAGAAGAACAAGTTACGATACAAACTTTATGGTCTCGATTAAGAGATAGGGCATTATTTGATGGTAGTGCCACGTCTTTAAGGCGGTTGCTTAGAGATCTTGGATTTAAGTGGCTTAAGGACAATCCGCGACGAGGGCTCATGGAACTACCAAGTATAGCTTTGAAAAGGGTGGAATTTCTAAGGCAATACAATCAAGCCAAGGTTGAGGCCTTATACCAGTTTGTCTTCCTCGATGAAACTTGGATATTTCAAAATGGGACCATAGGTCGCTCTTGGCAAAATGGAAACCAAAAAAGCGTGAAAGCTATTAAAACAGATGGTAAAAGGTATGTACTTTTACACAATTTGCACTATAAAATTTAAAACTAATATATTTTAGATACATTATATTACATGCTGGAAATGAAAATGGGTTTATTGAGGGTAGTGAAGCGATATTTTCTTCGAAAACAAAATTGAGCGATTACCATGGAGAGATGAACCAGGACAATTTTTTGAAATGGTTTCAACATCAGTTATTAGAAAAATGGGAGAGTCCATCTATGATTATACTGGATAACGCCCCTTATCACAGCATGATATTGAACAAAGTGCCCAACAATGCATGGACAAAAAAAAATATCCAAGACTGGTTGACAAATCAAAACATACCATTTTTAAACACAATGTTTAAAACAGAGCTATTGAGTATTGTTGCTCGGTACATAATGCTTCTTAATTATATATATTTTGGTCGACAGTTTATATTTCTTTTGTTTACTCCTATTCTTAAAATAACTGCTTTTTTAGAAATAAACCACCTAAAATATACGTGATTGATGAATTGGCGGAACAAAATGGGCACAAAGTTCTTCGTCTGCCTCCTTACCATTGTATATTTAACCCTATTGAGTTGATTTTGGGCATAGCAAAAGGTTACTATAACAGACATATTGGTAGAGATGGTAACAGTGAAAAAGACTGTTTGGATATGTGGAACGAGGCTCTACAAACGGTTACCCCAGACATGTGGAAAAATAGTGTTCGACATACTGAGCAAGAAATTTTTAAATGGTATGAAAGAGAAAGAATTTTTGATCGACCAGACATCGAACCTTTAATAATCAACTTTGAGAGTGATGAAGATTCAGATTCAGACAGCGCTGAAGAAAGAAACTCCGACTAACTTTATTGTACAGAAAAAGCTTACACCAGTAGCTTACCTAATTTTAGAATGCATTTTTCTGTATGAATTCTGTAAAATAAATACCATGCATAAAATTTGGAGGATCCCATTTGGATTTTTATTCAGTACCTTTAAGCTATCAATTAAATATGGTAGTTTCATAGTGTCATCTGATCAATAATTGTCATACTTAATGATTATGCAAGTACAGATCTATAATTTTATCATACTATTATTTTTGTTCTCATTTGAGGTTAATATTGCTTATAAACCTAGATATGTAAATAATAAATTTTATTATTTTACAAAAAGTTTGGCAACAATGTAAATTTTTCAACACACCCACCTTGATGACGTGCACGCCACTTTGTTTGGCGTTGACTATACATTGAAATCTAAGTAAACAACGACTTATCAAGTAGTACAATTATATTATTATTTGGTACTGGTAGCTAGTGAATTCCAATCAAGCGTTTTCATATTGGTCTCTCCAGTATCAGGCATACGTTATCAAAGGTAGGTCAAGCAATGACTCTTCGTTTAATTAGCCCAAAATCCCCTAATTTAAGGTTTTCATACTCACCAAACTATCATCACGTTCTCTGGTGATTATAGTGGTTCATTCTTCTAATCTCATGCATGGTATCTGAAACAGAAGTATCAAATCAGTATAGTCTTAGTACACTGCTCTTGAAGCAATGAAATGGTAATAAATTCAACTGAAAGTCTTTACCAGTTTTTACGTCCAACAATACAGGGTGTCCGCAAAGTTGGGGTTTTCTTTTACACGACGTGTAGATCTTGAAAACATAAGCAATTTTTCTTAGTGCCATATACACCAATGTCTTAAGGGAACCGAGATAAAGGGCTCTGCAACATCAAAAATATCTGAATACCGTCCTGTAGCCGCGACCCGGGACATCACAGATTGGTACAAGGTCTCAACCCGACGGCAGAACTGGGTCGGGGTCAGTGTGTCAGGTCAGTATGCAACCTTCAACCGATGGTTACGGTCACGCATGTAGAGGTAATCGCGTAGACGAGAATCTCTAGAGACGTGGCTAGAGAAGTGCAAGTATCAAAAACTAAAGTGTGGCAAACGCTGCGTGAAGAGGGGCTATCCGTTTCACGTCCAACGTGTACAAGCCCTTCAACCTGACGATTTTCCAGCAAGAGTGCGGTTTTGTGAGTGGTTGTTGCATCAACATGACAATAATCCGGACTTTTTGAAGTGCATATTGGTGACAGACGAATCTACGTTCACTCGTAATGGGGTAAATAACTTTCGCAACACTCATGTTTGGTCAGTAGAAAATCCGCACGCAATTACGCAACATTTTGCCTTCCTTGTTAGAAGATGTGCCATCAAGTGTAAGACAATCAATGTGGTTTCTGCGTCTGCTCGGTAGCGCATCAGCTGATTTCATTTTCTGTCGGAGCGGTATGATTTCGGGCAGAGACGTACTTAGCCCTTCTCGTCAACTGGAGAGTGAGTACTTTTTCCTTTATTTTTTTTTACTTGGTCGCCCTCGTTTCACTACACATTACCTTTGTTCTTTCAAGGGTAGTTGTTTCTGAAAAGGAAAACCCCAACTTTGCGGACACCCTGTATAAGTCCTGTTCTCACCATATGACAAGTGTTGACATATAGTTAGTACTATAAAATTATGCCTGACAATATATCCCCAGACATTGCTGAAAGTCAGTCATTTCCAATGTGGCGACAGCCTACTTCTTTTTATAAATGCAAGTAAGCATTTCAAATATTCTCACTTCAAACCTATTTCAAAAACCAGTGCATTTTCAAACCCTTCAGGCTATATTATTGAATAAGAAATTGGGAATAATGATTTAGGATAGAAATGGTTACTTTTTAGACTTCTTTGATCTTCTTATTAAAGGATGTAGAAAAAATATCTCGACAACTTTGTCGTTACGTTTGAGTGTCCTTCAATCATATTTGTCAGAGTGACAACTTAGTTGACATCGGCGTGCAGTTCGAGTTGTTGTGTTATCAATCCTCAATATAAAATTGTACAATGCCCGGAAATACGATCAGTGGGCGTCAAAATGCTGCTGATGATGATTTACCTTTACAGCAAATGCTCAAACTGTTTTCCTTCAGCCGCAATACACTCGCGACATCTCAAAAAAGATCGGGTTATTAAACGTGCGAATCCACGGTTATTAACAAACTTAGCTGCTTCCAATAGTCTTTGCCGTACCTCAGCTACATTTTGAATCGGCTTGAAATACACTTTCTCTTTTACAGTTCCCCAGTAAAAAAATCTAAAGGATTCAAATCTGGTGACCGGGCTGGCCACGGTATCGTACCAGACCGCCCTATCCGTCTGCCTGGAAAGTTTTGATCGAGATACTCTCTCACTGAGAGTGCATAGTGCGCTGGACAGCCATCATGCTGAAACCACATGTCCCTATAAATACTCAGTGGCACGTCCTCCAATAAATTTTCTTAATGATTTTGCAAAAAACCTAAATAAACCTCAGCAGTCAAAGTCTCTGGGAACTCAAACGGACCGATTATTTTACCATTTAAAATTCCTGTCCAATGGTTTATCTTGAAGAGATATTGAGATTTATCTTCTCTCATCAAATGTGGGTTTGCTACGTGCCACTCGTGTAAGTTATGCAGGTTCATGTACCCATATTTCTTAAATGTGGTCTCATCTGAGCATAAAATTTTTTCAAAGAACCGTGGATCTTCTCTGTGTCTTTCTAACATTGTGCGACAAAAAGCAACTCGGGGCTCATAATCCCGGGGCAGAAGAGCTTGAACACGCTGTACGTGGTATGGATGGAGCACGTTTTTTTGCAAGATTCTATGGGCTGTACTTTTGGGCACACCTGTTTTTAGTTCTATTGCACGCACTGAAGTACTCGGGTCTTCTTCGACAGCTCCTAGCACCACGTCTTCGTAAGGAAGGAAAGATCTTCCCTCACCGTGTGATTGGTTTGGTAGTTGGCCCTCTGAGAATAGTAAGCGGTGCACATTTGTGAACTCTCGATGATCTGGATAACGTGCTGCATTCGGGTACCTCTCACAGTAAAGTCTCGATGCAGCACTAGCGTTGCATCTGCATTCCCCATAAATGAGGTGCATGTTACCATATTCTTGTATGGTGTACACGGACATAGCGGCACTGCACAATCACACTATCAAAGATAGTCTAAGGAAAGCAAATGTTGTTTTGAAGAGCAATTAAACAGTCCAAATCCAAATCACAAGCGATCAACAGTCCAGTTCACGAATCCAAAATTAGTAACAGTACGAAATTAACAAGCACGAACATGAGATGCGCAGTAAACGAAGGAGTACTGATCGGGATCAAAGTGTGCAATAGCAAGTAAGTGATGTGCTTCATCCATACCACATACAGCGTGTTCAACCTCTCCTGCACCGGGATTATGAGCCCCGAGTTGCTTTTTGTCGTACAATGTTAGAAAGACACAGGAAAGATCCATAGTTCTTTGAAAAAATGTTATGGTCGGATGAGACCACATTTAAGAAAGATGGGTACATGAACCTGCATAACTTACATAAGTGGCACGTAGCAAACCCACATTTGATGAGAGACGATAAATCTCAATAACGATTCAAGATAAACCATTGGACAGGAATTTTAAATGGTAAAATAATCGGTCCGTTTGAGTTCCCGGAGATTTTGACTGCTGAAGTTTATTTGGATTTTTTGAAAAACCATGTACAAAATTTATTGGTGGACGTGCCACTTAGTTTTTACAGGGACATGTGGTTTCAGCATGATGGCTGCCCAGCGCACTATGCACTCTCAGTGAGAGAGTATCTCGATCAAAACTTTCCAGGCAGATGGATAAGGCGGTCTGGTACAATACCGTGGCCAGCCCTATCACCTGATTTGAATCCTTTAGACTTTTTTACTGGGGAACTGTAAAAGAAAAAGTGTATTTCGAGCCAATTCAAAATGTAGCTGAGCTAAGGCAAAGACTATTGGAAGCAGCTGAGTTTGTTAATAACCGTGGATTCGCTCGTTTAATAACCCGATCTTTGTCTTGATCAGTTTGAGCATTTGCTGTAAAGGTAAATCATCATCAGCAGCATTTTGACGCCCACTGTTGTGTAAACAGTTATCCTTAAAGGTCCTTGTGCATTTTCATAATCGCTGTTTAATTAGGAAATTTTGAAAAATTTTCATCAGTTTTTTTTCAAATAAAAGTTGTGCATATGTTAACGAGTAATTTTCTAAGTGTTATACCATTTTGGAATCCTTATTAAATGCGCCAACTTTTAAGGTTACTTGCCAAACTCTCGTAGTACATTTTTTCCAGTACAACCAGTTAAAGTTGAGCAAAGTTTTACTTTGGAATACTTGGTTGGGAAATAAGTGGCAATTTTTCCTGAACGAGAAAAGTTGGCAGTAAGGTTGAGACACCAGTTTGAAGATGCATTATTCATCATTATATTGTAAAAATAAAATCCAAAATAGTTAATATTTGTAGTAACAGGAGTTGACAGACTGCCGTAGGGTGTGAAATTTCTATATTTTTTTCAAAGACCTATAATTTTCAAAACACATACATAAAATTTCCGCGCGGCCTACTATGTTTCTATATGCAAAGCTTAAAACACATCTCTCGTACGTTGACAAAATCCCAATTTCAATTACGGATATTTCTTCTTTCACATAATGCTGCAAATAAAAAATACAAAAAATCGTGTTCAATATGAACGGATTTTACAAGCTCATTTTTTTCGTCATTCGGTTGACGTGAAATGCCTTAAATGTTATACGTGTAGTACAGCTAACAGCATATGAGTACCAGCAGATGAACCTTGTATAGTTAAGTGCCATTGGTAATACTAGTTTTTGTCCAGGTGCATGATTTCGCTAAAATTGGTAGTTTAATGCCAAAGAGACCCAATCTAGAGCTCCATGAAAGTCGCACTCGAAAGGCGTATTGCCCTATTTCTGTACGTTCGCAATGTCCAGCAATGATAATTGTTCAGCAAAACGAACAAGAAACACAAGAGATGGCAAGCGGCATCGTCCACAGTCCGTGTACCAATTGTTTAGCGTGCCGGAAACAAAAGAAAATCGATTTCCATCGGGTTCCCATTTCGCGTTTTTGCTGTCGATGGCCCGTACAGTACTTGTACAGTGACGTCGTATACTGTTTTTGAAAAAAGTAAGATGAGCTAAAATTCTAGATTAAAATTGCCCCCAAAAGTGTCCGAACTTGGGTCAGTTCAACCACAAAGACAGGGTAACCTGAAAGGAATTTTGCTTTTCAGAAACAACTAAAAAGTTAATTTGCGGGAAAAAATCACTGAAAAGAGATTGAGGACAATACTGACTATTTATTTGGTGTGGAATCTCATATACTGCCTTTTCACATGTTATGCTGTTTATTGTGGAAAATCGAACAGCTGGTAAATGGTGGCTTCATCGTTTCTGACTGTATATAATTGATAACCTTTCAAATATTAAATCCCACAGGCGTTTATTAAGTGGATTTTGCAGCACTCTGTTTCATGCAGCAATTTGTCTACCACACATTTGTTACTTTTAGTCAAGTCCTAATAGAGATACTAATAAATCAAAAGTGAAGAATAGAATTACATACAGATGCGTTTTAAAAATATCCCAGATTCGTTTTTTGAATAGGTCAAATTATCAAGCCGAAGATCGGAGTGATGTGAACAAGTTATGTACTAGTCTGCACAGAAGAAGACGCCAAATCAGCATTTGTGCCTTCGCGAACCTTTCTTGTCATTTTCCGTATTGCATAAAATTTGTTCTTTCCTTTGGATTTTCGATATACCATTTTTCGCGAAACTTTTAAACTGCTTTTTGTTTAGAATGTTGATCTCCACATGTTATTAGGGCAATCTATTTCACGAACTGGTACGACTACGTTCAAATAATCCGTCTGTAGCTTGACTACATCCCGAAAACGTCGTCGCAGAAAAAACGATTTAGGGCGAGGCTTATCTACGAGAAAGCATAAAATCTCTCGTTCATATAGGAGATTATTGCTTGAAGTTGCTCTATTTAAAAAAACGTTTTTTTTACTTCTTTCTGAATTTTCAAGATCTGGGAATGTCTAGGTTTTCTAGTGCGTCCATCTAGACGGCTTTTGCATGACATAAGCAAACGCAGCTCTGATGGAAATATCGAGGATGACGGTTACGTTCTGAATACTCACATACACTCGCGGAATATCAATAATATCTTGAAGACGCTCACAGTAACGCTAACATCAAATCGATAACTAAGTTATTGCTGTAGAAATGTGCAAATTGTAGTATTCAAATGCGGTTCGTATATAAACTAGCAAGCCTACGCACTGCGCGGTGTGTGATTTGGATACTCACTCACATAGTGACAGTTCAAAAAAATCGCAACCTTTAAGGCTTTGGTATATGTGCTAGGAAAACTTGTTTATTATTACCTGACCTACAAGTAATTTGAGAACATCTTGTATATTAGACTGACTTCTCATATCCACGATTTCATATTCCCCAGGACTATCGTCCCATCAGCCTACTGTGTGCTTCGTCTAAGCTCGCTGAAAAGGTGGACAAGATGTGACACAAGGGTCTTCTCTATAAACTAATTTAAAAGGGCTTTCCTTTTTGGGTCCTAAAACTTTTGAAATCCTTTCTTGATGGCAGAAAATTTTGGATCAAAATTAATAATTTCTTGTCGACAGTACGGCCCATCATGGACGGCGTCCCTCAGGGTTCGGTTCTAGGGCCCCAATCCTTTACTCACTTTTACTTACTGCATCAAATCAACTAACGTACCTCAAAGTTTGATTCGTCTGACCATACAATATTTGACCAATCCTCTTCAGTGAAGTTTTTGTATTTTAAAGCCCAATCATACCGAGCCTTCTTGTTTTTGTCTGAGAGCCATGGCTTCTTTCCGGCTTTGCGGCCATTTAGACCAGCTTCTTGAAGCTTTCTGCGAGTAGTTCGGGTAGAAATTGGTCTATTAGTCTGCGCTGATAGCTCGGCAGCGAGGACAATAGAAGTTTTTTTCCTCTTTTTCAAAGACTCTCTGGTCAATACTCTGTCTTCACGATCTGTGGCGATGCGTTTGCGGCCTCTTCTAGGTCTATCGTTAAGTGAACCGGTCCGAGCGAATCGCTGAATAGTGTATTGTACACATCGATGCGAATACTTCACTGTTTTCGCAATGTCTACTTGGGACTTCCCTTGTTCATGAAGAACCTGTATTTTCACACGTTTTTCAATGCTCACTTCATTCTTGTTTGCCATATTGCGAGAGTATTAGTTAAATTCTCGAAATAAAATTATCAAAGTCTCACTAAATTACTGAATTGATCACAACGAAAGGTAAAACTGAGTAATCTCTAAAAAACTAGACGTCTTAGCGATAGTAAGCAGATATGGTATTGTTTACAAACCGGTCTGGATACCTACAAATATTTTTGTAACCTTCAGTTTTTCTTTTCATCTATCATTATAGCGTCCTTACAATATTTTTAGGGTGCTCAATACTTCTGGCCAAGGCTGTATATGCTGATGACACCGCACTGGTGGCCCAGTCGCGTACGGGGAATCTGGTTCACGACATGTTACAAAGTGCGATGGATGAGGTATTGGAATGGGCAGATCGGTGGCTAATCAAAGTTAATTACTCGAAAACGCAGGCTATCTATTGTACCAAAAAACGTAGCGGCGCCCCGCCTGAGGTTTCAGTGAATAGAGCTCGCATACCATGGGGAAATTTTGCTTAGTATCTCGGTGTCACTCTTGACAGAGGGATGACCTGACACTGAAGCGTGAAAAGCTAAATTCCAAATTACGTTACGGCAACTCTACCCTTTACTATGTAGAACCTCAAAATTAAGTTTGGTTAACAAAGTTCGGCCATATAAGATGGTTATCAAAACAGCAATCACTTACGCATGTGCAGCATGGTGTTTTCTTGCCAAAACGCATATGCGTAATCTGCAGGTTTTGCAGAACAGAACCTTGCGAACCATCACCAACGCACTATGGTATGTCTCCAACGAGACCCTTCACAGAGACCTCGACATCCCTTACCTAACAGGTAATCAGGCGCAGTTACGTTGTAGTCAAGCGGAATAGCACAGCGCGTGAGTCAGTAGACTACACAGTCGAGCAAGTTCGCAAGCACACAAAACCGCGGCTCGCACTGTGATCAAAATAAAATCGTGCAATTCTAGATCCAACCAAAATTACGATTTTTGCCACACACAAATTCCTATATTAATTTTTGGATTAATTTAAAATAACCGAATACTAGTTAACAATAGCAACGCATCTCTTTAACCGGCGCACTTCACCCTCTTTGCTCTTCCCCCTTCCTCACTTTCTTTCTTCTTCCTTTCTTTCTCCCTGACTTCGTCTGGTATCTGGGAAACCAGACCTGACATACCTACAGAAATACGATAATTTAACAAAGAGCGAAGATATTTCATGTCCGTAGATCGCGCATATAGGCCAATAACCTCAAAAGCAGGCAGGAATTAAATTTTAAGGACATACTTTTTTTTAAAGGTTCGGAAAAATTACTGCATTGGTTCATTTCACATAACGAAGATTATTTATAGATTTTCTGATAGTAGAGTGTTCTGTAGATCGAGATATGTCTGGAGGCAGAATGCATATAGGATTTGTGTCTTAAAATACACGAACAGAAAATATCAACTGGAGATGAAAAAAATATGCAATGAACGCGATTCGAGATCACGTTTCCGACTCCGTGATCTCACTGTCAACGTGTTTCTTCAAAACTGACAATATATGTTTTCCGTTTTTCAGCTACCCTCCTGTATTGTCATAGATGACTGCTTATGTTCGATGAACGACACGCAAAAAATAACTTCCTATGGTGAAAAGTATAGGAATTTGTGCAGTCTGTCAATAAGATGAAAGTGATTAATGTTGGTTAAAAAATGCACAGACTGATGAAGACCCTGTGACACTTGGAATTTTGCGTTGTGGTTTGAGTCGAAGGTTGCATTTTAAGGGGTCAAATGCAAGACAAAACCGCGGTACCTATTTTGTCTATTGTAGAGTTTTCTATTAAGTTTTCTCTCAGTCAATTACTCCCGGAGCAATATCTCAACTTTCAGAAAAAACCAATAAAACCTCTGATTTGCAACTCTCGGGGCTAACTGCTGATTTGTTTACCTATTATCGAACGGCTCATCCGAAAACCTCTATTTAGAGCGATAAATTGAGAAAGAGTTAGCTCAGCTGCACAGGTACAGCGTTCCAATTCGAAATAGCCCAGGAATTTTAGACATTTTCTGTTTAAAATCTTTTTGCAAAAAAAAACGGAACCGTCAAAAACAGTGTGAACGCGCGATCACTATAGTAATTACATGAAATAAAGAAAATGGGTATTCCGAAGGCTTGCTTACTCAAGATATATGCTGCATTAAGTGTCTACAGTGAGATTCGAGTTTGACTGACGGTTTGAGTTTAATGTTGTCTAGCAACGCGGGCGCGGAAGGTCGCGGCAATCTGCCGCGTTGCCAGTCCCTTTAATTATGATGCAGGCTAGGCCAAAATAATGCTACAGTTTGCAACATGGCATGATTGGTTCGCTTAACAACACCGCATCTCGTACATTCCAAGGCTCATCTACTGTCTCCGTCTAGCACGATGCTATGGTCATGATCATGAGCGTTTTTTGGTCAGTACTAGAGATTTAAAATTTCCGGAAAAATTGGGTGCGGGAAAAACCTGTTTTTTTTTCGGAAAAATTGAGAAAAAAAGGAAAAAAAAACTGAAAAATTGAAATTTGTTATATACAAGATAAAAGCATTCTGGTTACTGATTTTTCCATTAATATAAATCAAACAGAAATAATTTGAATCAAAACCGCAAGCTACGGCTTTCGGTTAATTCCCGATCACGCACAGCCACACGGCATTTCGGTAAATCCCCGTATTCCTCAATTGTTCAGTTGAGAATGAGATTCTTCAATATTGGCACGTCTTGTTTATTTTAAAGCACAAATTTTAATTTAGCCTTATCATAAGCGCAGTAAATGAATAATACAAAGTGAAATTTTGCTGTAATAATTGAGTGTGTTTGTTCTGAAGATTGTTAGTGTTGTTGACCCAAGTGTTTGTTTTGGTTTCTGGTAAGTGAATATTTTATTAAATTTGGAATAGCTTTAAGTGTTTTGAAGGTGGGATTTCAGTTTCCTTGCATATTTTCCTTACTTTTCTTTTTGACTAATATCAAGATTCAGTAATAATAATTATTGTCTATATACTCATTAAATTACAAGAATTTGATCAGTTGATAAAGTGCAGCAAGATATTTTATTTATGTATTTTTTTCTTGTTGCAGGACAATATGGTTCGACCTTCTTCAGATATTTGGCAATTATTTGATATTGTAAAAACAGATAAAAAATCCAAAGCTGTATGTAAGTTTTGCTGTTTTAAATACGCCTTTCCAAACGCAACTCGCATGACGAATCATATATTAAACCAATGTTCAAAATGTCCTTTGGAAATTAAACAAAAATATGGCAATGAAATACAATCGAGTTCGAAGTCTTCGACGTCAGAAGAAAAAGAAAGTAACAAAGATATCCTGCTAGAAGCATTAGAAGATACCCTTCAACTAGCGAAAAGGACACGTCATCAATGTCATCATCTTGCGAATCTCCATTACAGTAAAACGCAAGAAAGCTAGCTGCCAACAAACATTGAGCGGGTTTTTCGATAAGATAGCTGTTTCAGAGTCTTCTAAAATTGATCAGGCATTAGCTAGGGCTCTTTATGCTTCTGGTGCTCCTTTTTCTCTTTTCAAAAATAAATATTGGAAACAGGTTTTTAAAATGTTAAGACCGTCATACCAAATACCTAGCCCTTACGCCCTGTCAACAAACTTACTTAATTCCGAGTATGAACGTATACAGATAAACCCAAGTCAAAAGCTTTCTGAATCTGATAGTTTATCAATAGTAACAGATAGTTGAAAAAATATAGTCGGAGATGGATTAATCAATATTGTTATATGCACGCCTATACCTTTATTTTACAAAACTATTCATCGTGGCACTGCATAAGAAACGGGAACGTATATAAGTAATGAACTTATCAAAGTTATTCAAGAAATAGGGCCACAAAATTTTTTTTTAATAGTGACTGACAATGCGAGCAATATGAAAGCTGCTTGGCATATTATAAATACAACATATCCTCATATATCTTGTGTTGGTTGTGCAGCTCACACTCTGAATTTGCTACTAAAGGACTTTATGAAAGAAAATTTGTTTGAAAAAATAAGTAAAGAGTCTAAATATTTTAAACAACACCACATTATGCTCCATTTAAAGAAACACAGGCCGAAAAATACCCAAAAAATAAAGTAATTTCCCTCAAATTACCTGCAAAAACAAGATGGGGTTCTCTGTTTGTAACTGTTGATTCGCTTTTAAGAAATTAGGAAGCTCTGCAATGTACTGTATTAGTGAAAAACCTGAATGTAAAACAAAATATTAAAAAAGTTGTATTGGATGATGCCTTCTGGCAAAACCTACAATATACTACACAAATCCTGCATCCTGTATCAAAATCGATAAAGTTAGAAGAATCGGATAGATCTATATTATCAGAAGTGCCTTTTGTCTTCAAGTATATAAAAGACACAATATTAGATATTCCCCAACAAGTTGACCTGACTAGTTGTCTTATCGAAAGCTTGCTAAAATATGTTGAAGAACGCTACGAATTTTGTTCTAAGCCGATTCACTTTGCAGCCAATCTTCTTGATGCTCGCTTTAAAGGAGAACAATTGAATGAAGACCAACTAATGGAAGCAATAGACTTAATTTCTGAAATGGCTCGTTCACTAAATCTAGATGTAGGGAAGGTGGTGGCAAATCTATCCCAATTTAGAACAAAAACTGGATTTTTTAGCCGAAATCCTTTATGGGATAGTGCGAATAGTACTCATCCCGTTATATGGTGGCAAGGCTTGTGTACATCGCAGCCACTTATGCCAATTGCCTCCCGAATTTTAAATAGACCGCCATCTTCCGCCTCTTCAGAAAGAAACTGGTCTTTACACGGCCTCATACATACAAGCAAAAGAAATAGATTATCACAGGATAAAATTCAGAAGCTGGTTGCTATTCATTCTAATTTGGTTATAAACGAAAAACAGACATTCATTTACGATGTTAGACCAGTTCCACTTTTAGAAGACACTGGCAAAGATTATGCTGTTTTGTCCGTCCATGAAGACGAAGCGGATATCGAGTCTGAATCAGATGCTTGGTCTGAAGATTCAAACTCAGACTCGGATGAAAATATACCTCTGAGCGCTTTGGTTAATAATGTGTTTTCTACCTTTGAAGCTTTGTTTTTGATACTTTCAATTATTAGATAATAATTATAATTTGACCCTATATACATGTATGTATTTATATCTTAGATATTAATAGATATTATTAAAGTATGTTTTTGTATTTATTTTTACAAAATACGTTTAAAAAACTTTAAAATTGGTACCTATTTTTTACGTTTCAAGTCACAATTAAAAAATATTT